ACTGAGTGTTGCATAAGTTGATGCGCAAATCCAACTTAAATTACCGTTGAACAGAGTCGAAATCCCTTGTATATAGTCAGGAGTAACACCACTTTGGGGGGTCTATTTATGCTTTTTACTCTGAACGAAGTTTAAGAAAGAAAGAAAAAAAAAAAAAAAAAAAAAAAAAAAATAGCTTAAATTTGACTTAAGAATATTCGAGATTACTGATGCTCCTCGTAATTGCTTCACAATTCCAGGACAGTTACCGCCACAGTTAAAATACATAAATAAATAGTAATTTAAATCTTGTTTAGTTTTAAGTTTCGTCTTAATTGCGAGTAAAAAACACAAAGTAAACTTGCTTTGCATCATCCAAAGTTACTTATGTCGTGATTGTAAATTAAAGCGGGCTTTTACCATGCTCATTGGACAGTTTAGATATGAATGACCAAACTTGTTTTCTTTGGCATACTAATTTTAAAGCAAGAATATGTTAATGACAGCCAAATCTAACAATTTTATGTTCTCCACGATCTTTCATACATGTGAATTACATAATTCTTGTACATTTACAGTTACAATTCAAAACTCCATGGTTCGTTGGATGTTGTTAAACTTCATATTTTTTCGTTATCAAAAGTTTTATTTAATCAAGTGTGAGAAGAAGCATCATCAAGTGTGAGAAGAAGCATCATCAAGTGTGAGAAGAAGCATCATCAAGTGTGAGAAGAAGCATCATCAAGTGTGAGAAGAAGCATCATCAGGTCATCAAGTGTGAGAAGAAGAGAAGAAGCATCATCAAGTGTGAAGAAGATCATCAAGTGTGAGAAGCATCATCAAGTGTTTCAAGTGTGAGAAGTGAAGTGTTAAGAATCAAGAAGAAGCATCATCAAGTGTGAGAAGAAGATCAAGTGTGAGAAGAAGCATCATCAATTGTGAGAAGAAGATCATCAATTGAGAGAAGAAGCATCAAGTGTGAGAAGAAGCATCATCAAGTGTGAAAGAAGCATCATCAAGAGAAGAAGCATCATCAAGAGAAGAAGCATCATCAAGTGAGAAGAAGCATCATCAAGTGTGAAGCATCATCAAAGAAGCATCATCAAGTGTGAGAAGAAGCATCATCAAGTGTGAGAAGAAGCATCATCAAGTGTGAGAAGAAGCATCATCAAGTGTGAGAAGAAGCATCATCAAGTGTGAGAAGAAGCATCATCAAGTGTGAGAAGAAGCATCATCAAGTGTGAAAGAAGCATCATCAAGAAAGAAGCATCATCAAGTGTGAAAGAAGCATCATCATCATCAAGTGAAAGAAGCATCATCAAGTGTGAGAAGAAGCATCATCAATCATCAAGTGTGAGAAGAAGCAAAGATCATCAAGTGTGAGAAGAAGCATCATCAAGATCATCAAGTGAAAGAAGCATCATCAAGTGTGAGAAGAAGCATCATCAAGTGAAAGAAGCATCATCAAGTGTGAGAAGAAGCATCATCAAAGAAGAAGCAGTGAGAAGAAGCATCATCAAGTGTGAGAAGAAGCATCATCAAGTGTGAGAAGAAGCATCATCAAGTGTGAAGAAGAACATCAAGTGTGAAAGAAGCATCATCAAGTGTGAGAAGAAGCATCATCAAGTGTGAGAAGAAGATCATCAAGAGAAAAAGCATCATCAAGTGTGAGAAGAAGCATCATTTGAGAAGAAGACATCAAGTGTGAGAAAAGCATCATCAAGTGTGAGAAGAAGCATCATCAAGTGTGAGAAGAAGCATCATCAAGTGTGAGAAGAAGCATCATCAAGTGTGAGAAGAAGCATCATCAAGTGTGAGAAGAAGCATCATCAAGTGTGAGAAGAAGCATCATCAAGTGTGAGAAGAAGCATCATCAAGTGTTAAGAAGCATCATCAAGTGTGAAAGAAGCATCATCAAGTGTGAGAAGAAGCATCATCAAGTGTGAGAAGAAGCATCATCAAGTGTGAAAAGTGAGAAGAAGCATCATCAAGAAACATCATCAAGTGTGAGAAAGCATCATCAAAGAAGAAGCATCAAGTGTGAGAAGACAAGAACGTATGGTTGCCAGCAAAAGAAAGAGCCCAAGATTCGAAGTACGAATTAAAGGCACCAAAATTAAGCAAATACAGAAGTTTAAATATCTATGAAGTGTTTTAACAGAGGACGGAAAACGCGATACCGAAAACATATTGGGTTAGTGAAAAATGCTTTCCAAAAGGCTTAGCAAAGAATTAATAGGAAAATTCGTTAGAAACATAGGAGTAATGAACTTTTATGTTATGAATGCTGGACAATCTTCTCACAGATAAAAAAGGAGACTTGAAACAAGAGAAACAAAGAACAGAGTACTCAACTGTTACGTAATATCAATCCTCCTTTATGGCAGTGAATGCTGAACAATCTCCTCACAGATAAAAACTTGAGGCAATAGAAATATGGCTCTACAGAAGAACTGAACTCGTGAGCAACAACGAAGTTTTAGAGAAAATGGAAACAAAAAGGATAATTAAACTTAAAATAAAAAAAATCATTTGAAATTTCGAGGGCACACAATGAGGAAAGGGGGCTTAGCAAATTTAACATTCACGGGACATTGACGGCGAGAGAGGTAAAGAAAAACAGCGAGTAACCTACATAATAAGCTTGTGTAATTGATTGGCAGAACAGGGATTAGGAGAGATAGCAAAAATACGAACTTTACTAAAAGCTACAAAAGACAGGAAGTTGTGGAGAACCATGATCAGCCACATCTTGAATGGGTGCTGATAAGTAGCTTTATAACCACGGTTAGTATATTATATATAGGTTGGGAAAGGCTGCTGATGCTTTCGATCAGGTCCAGTCGCCAAATTTTCTTTAAATTAGGAAAAAAATTTGGGAAACGCTTTTTGACTGGGCTGAGAACTTTATTGTAGATCGTATACTGCGAATTCAGATTGGGCTGTGAACTTTTCAGGAAAATATCAGAAATGTTCTCCGTAATCAGAAATGCTGACTTTAAATTTACGAGTCATTGCTTTTATTTTCTGATAATGTGTATGGTCATCCGTACTTACAAAATGGAACGTTTATACACACAAAAAAAAAAAAAAAAAAAAAAAATTCAAAATTCTATAGAAATATTGGTGTTTGATGATTTGTATTATTAACTAGACATAAATGGAAAGGCTTAAGATTTAAAAAAAAAAAAAAAAAAAAAAAAAGAAAATTCTTGTAAAAATTAATTATTCATTGAAGAAAATTGTCTTAAGACAATAATGTCCTTAATAAAATCCACATAAATCTAAAATGATTGCCCAAGTGAAGACATTTGTTATTAAGATTAAATATTTCTTCAAAAACTTTTCAAAAATAAGTGTGGCAACGAAATAGGTTAGTGTACCTCAAATTTTAACAAAATTCGAGCCAAAATGTAACTAACTAGATTTGAAACATTTTCAATCACAGGCACCACTAAATTCCGCATGAGAAAATTACTATTTTTTGTAGATTAAAGAAATTTCCTATTTTTTTTTTATTATTATTATTCAAGTGAAAAGCGGTTGAAATGTTATGGCAACGACCTCACGTCAGTTTGAAATCGGTTTAAACAGCGAAGAAAAAGAAAAAAAAAATTAAAACAAAAGTTTCCCTTCAATCATCGTGTGTGCTTTTTTTCTCATTGTTGCTTATCCTCTTGGTCTTATTTTCTTTATCCTTTCTTTCTCTCCCCCACCTCCATTATTTTTCATTCGATTCTTCTTCATTCACTCCTTAATCCGTTGGTCGCTTTCATTCATTGACAGCGGTTTCATTTAAAGAAAGAAAAAAAAAGAGTTTATAATAATAATAATAATAATAGTAAAGAAAAAAAACAACAACAAAAAAACATGGCCAACAGGTGGGACAGTTCTTAAATGTTGGAGGATATAATTGATGTAGATGCTTGGAAATGCTTAATTGTACGAAAAATTCAACTTTGCTCCCCCACCACTTCTCGTTTACCAAAAGCAGGTGCGTGTGAAAATAGCTGATGAGATAAAAAGAAAACAGACACACACGCACACACACATATATATATATATATGTGTGTGTGTATGTATGTAAAGTACACTGAATAAAGGTAAAAAGAGTGCAGAAACATTTTAAAGAACAACTGTGGTGGTTACTCTAATTTTCTTTTTTGTATCCTTACAGTTTTATGTACGTGCAGAGTCCCTATCCGCCCACTATGAATAAATAAATAAATAAATACAAATAAAATAAACGAACGTCTGTCAGTTGTTACACCTCAGATTACACAATACATTATCAGAGATAGCGTAAGAAAGTTAATCGTCGATCCTTTGGTCAAATACAAGGGCTGAAGACACACTGAAATCTGATGGTCAAAACCCACTCGAAAAATACGAAAACACGGGAGAGATGCCTGAAATTATGAGCACCATAGAGCAAGATATGAGGACATACTCAAGAAGCCTAGTATAGAAATATATACAATGTGGGTAGCAATAATAAATAAATGCCAGTAAAGATTTAAAGACAGTAACAGGAGAAAAAAGAAACCTGGATGAATGCAGTCAAGTGCAACAGGCAGCAGGCAAATAAGGTTTAAAGCTAAATAAGGTTTAAAGCTCACTAAGTTCTACACTCAGGATTGTCTCGTGTGAAAAAGGTTTAGTGGATTAAAACTTTGGTTCGTGAATTTGGTGAATCATTTTGGGTAGTGCAGACTTGGGTTAAGTGATTGATAAGTAAGAACTAGACGAGATACCCCCTAGGCATAGCCAGCAGGACGAAAACTCGATCCCCGTAAATTAAAAGAAAGGTTCAGTTTGAAATTTCCTGAAGCTTACCCGGTTCGACTGGCACCTGAAGAAGGCCGGAGTGCACGAAGACCGAAACGTTGGTATAAAGAAGAAAATGGTCAAAGTGTAAAGAATAAATAATCATTGAACATTTTTATATAAAAAAAAGTTTTGTCTCCTTCTCGGGAATTCTCTTAACCATGATTCCAGAGACACCTGAGAGAGATCTGTTTTTATAGGAATGAACAGCAAGGTGACCTGTTCTCGAGACAGAGAGCGAGACAGCGAGACAGAGAGCGAGACAGAGAGCGAGACAGAGAGACAGACAGAGACAGACAGAAGAGACAGAGAGCGAGACAGAGAGACAGAGAGAGCGAGACAGAGAGACGAGACAGAGAGAGACAGAGACAGACGAGAGACAGAGAGAGAGACAGACAGAGACAGAGAGAGACGAGACAGAGAGAGACAGAGACAGACAGAGACAGAGAGCGAGACAGAGAGCGAGACAGAGAGCGAGACAGAGAGCGAGACAGAGAGCGAGACAGAGAGCGAGACAGAGAGCGAGACAGAGAGCGAGACAGAGAGCGAGACAGAGAGCGAGACAGAGAGCGAGACAGAGAGACAGAGAGCGAAAGAGCCCAGAGCGAGAGAGAGAGAGAGCGAAAGAGAGAGAGAGAGAGAGAAGTAGAGAGCACAAGAGAGAGAGAGGCAACAGTGTGTACAGTTTTCCTCAAAGGCAAAAGGTATAAGCAACCTACAGAAGAACGTTCACCTCACAATAAAATAAAAATAACAACAATGCAAACGAGCAAGCCATTCATATGAACTAAAAAGAAGCGACATGGCCATCTTCATTAGTAATTTTATGCCTGCTATTATTTTACTGTAAGCTGTGGATGTAGACAACCAGTTCGTACCTCGCTTCGCTCCATCTTAAAAGTCAATTTCATTGTGCGACATTTTTTGAAGGCAATCTGCCGAATACCATTAACCAGATTAGACTTGAAGAAAAAAAAAATAAAAAAAAATAACGTCATTGCATAGACAAGTAAGAATTGAAGAGAAATACATGATTTATGGCTAATGTCGCCGTGACGAGCAAATATGTTTCGTCACGGACAAAAAATTGCTCCTTGGAAGGAGATTGAGCCAATATTTTCAGCGAAGTTTGACTTGAGTCATCATCACCTAACAAATTGAAGCGAAAGAAGAAACCAAAACAATGACAATTAAAAGAAGACAGAATCGTTGTGACGCCTTAAACATCTTTGTCATTATGGTCATCTAAACACTTTTCTTTTCCAGACAAAAAAGAAAAAAAAAAATCTTGTTCGCAATGAAAAATCCGAAAATATTTCACGTCTGGAAGCCCTGACGGTATATTTAAAAAAAAAAAAAAAAAAAAAAAAAAAAAAGAAAAAGAAATGGATAGAATTTTCCTGGAGACTGGGGTAACACCAGACATTGTCCGAACAGAACAAACATTTACAGAATAACTTCTACAAGATAATTCGGGAGGGGGGTGGGAGAAAATTATTATGAATTCTGTCTCTTCTAAGACTACACGTGAAGATGATTGTCAGTGGAACAGCGTCAAGCTTTAGCATTAGTTTTCCTGAAAGACAGTAGGCTAGAAATAAATATAATAAAATCTTTGGCTTGTTGAATTCTAAAACGATCAAAAGGAAAGCAGATGCATTACTTTTTTAAAACTAGTCACGTGGTAACTATATATATATATATATATATATATATATATGTGTGTGTGACTTCCGTCCGTCACACACCCTCTAAAATAGCCATAAACTGACTGATCGAAACCAAGTTTTGCAAGTAAAGGGGGTACAAAATACAGTTGGTTTTACTCGAGTGCGTAGCTTAGTAAAATAAATTTTCATAAATTATTTTGTAAAAATTAAATTTTATTATTTATCATCATACAGAATTCTCCCACCATTTTAAAAACAATTTAATAATTAACAACCTATTTCTTTAATAAAAATGCTTTTTTTCATTTTTTTTTTTTTTTGCATATCTCAAGTTTTTACAGTTTCCAGCTAGCTAGCCTTGTGTTTGCGAGAACTATAAACAAGTCACAAGGTCAAACGCTTCAGAAAGTTGGAATTTGGCCCCAGAAAGAAATATTTTTACGCAAGGCCAGTTGTATATTGCATGCTCAAGTGTAAAAATGTATTCTTCGCTGTTGAAAAAAAAAAAAGAAAAAGAAGAAAAAAAAGAAGTATTGTTTACCATAAAGTCCTAAAATTAAATTAATTATTAAACCGCGTAGTAGGGTTTTTATCAAAAGTATTTTCCCAAACAGATCAGCTTATTCAAATTTCATCGATTGGTTTGCGAAATTAAACGAAACACTGACTTTGTAAATCTCGACAAAAAATGTTAGCGGTAACTTTAACAACGAATACTAAACACGCGTCAGAGAGATATATTATATATATATATATATATATATATATATATATATATATATATATATATATATATATATATATAGAGAGAGAGAGAGAGAGAGGACTTTCTGTACCGCGCCAGGAAATTTTTCTCCCCGCAATCGATACTTCAAATATACAAAACCATTCGCCCTTGCATGGAGTATTGCTGCCATATATGGTCTGGTGCACATTCTGTTTACCTCGGAGTTCTTGACAAGATCCAGAGGCGGATATGTAATATAATTGGCTCTGTTCTGGCATCTCGTCTACAGTTGCTCTCTCACAGACGCACCGTCGCCTCTGTCTTTTTTACAAATACTTTCATGGTAATTACTCCGGCGACCTGCTTCCACTGGTTCCCAGACTTCATGAATTCAAGCGCCCTACGAGGCTGGCATCCCGCTATCACCCTTTCACTGTCGAAACTACTAAATGTAGCCGTCTCTTCTACTCCAATAGCTTCCTATCTCGCACCTCTCGCCTGTGGAACACCCTTCCCTATTGCAGTTTCCCGAGAGCTATAATCTCCAACTATTCAAATGTAATGTCAATCGACATCTCCAGTTGCCTTGATCTATCCACTATCCCTCTCCTCATCCTTTCTTCTATCACTCCTATCTGATCTTGCTCCAAACCTTCTGCAACCCCCTGCATCCTAGTGGCTTGCCGCCTTGCTCGGGGCGTAATGCTATATATGTTTTCTATTCAATATGATTGACATTCTATGAAATGAAGTGGGGGGGGGTTGAAATCGCCACTCCTAGTCGATACAGTCAGCATCTGGGTGTAAGTAAAATAATAATGACAACATTTCCCGCTCTCCCTTAGACAACCTGCATTGTTTGTCTTGTCCTCTTCTGGGTCAGATTGAGTGACAATAATTACATTTTAAGGCATTAGCGACAGCAGGTTGAATGATTACATTGCTTTGCATGCAAAAACAAAGTGCTTAGGGATTAACATAGCGGGTGGTGGTCCCCCCTCTCTTATGTCAATGACTAGGGCCATCTGTCAAATTTATTAAAAGTACAATAATGACCAAAATTCACCTGCAAACCGCTAAAAATGCAGTGAATGTAATCCATTTATTTTCAAACTTGCCAGCCATTTAAATTAAGCCAGATCAGTTCAAATTTTATTTTCTATATAAATAAATCCCCCCGCTGCACTTGTAAATGTTGTCATCTTATTGACGGCTTATCACCAAGACTTTTTCGACTTGAAGGCGCACTGAGGGAATCAGTGGGATTCCTCATCCTCAGTATTTTTATAAACTAGACTTTTTTTGTTTTACAACACACGTGTTGAAATCCTCACAGTATTTAGTATTTGTTGAAGTTGTCACTAAAATTTTTGTCGATATTTACAAAATATACGTTTCGATCAATTTTACAAAGAAATTGATTGAAATAAGAATGAGATGATTTGTTTGGAAAAATACTGACAAAAATCATACTTTGCAATTTAATAATTTCTTTAATTTTATTGGACGTCATGGTAAACAGTTTTTTTTTTTTTTTTTTAAGAAAAATTTATTTTCCTTCTTAACAGCGAAGAATAAATTCTTACTCGTGAGCATGCAGCATACAACTGGACGTGCGCAAATTTCTTTCTGGAGCCAAATACCAGATTTTTGAAGCGTTTGGCCTTGCGATTTGCTTATAATTCGCGCAAACGCTGGGCGAACTGGACACAGACTTCTTGTATAGAAAAACTTAAAGATATGCAAAAAAACCCCAAAAAAAACAGTATTGCATTTTTATTAAATAAGTATTTATTTTAATCATTAAATTGTTTTTTAAACAGTGAATATTTTGTAAAATAATTAAACTTAATTAAAAAAAAAAAAAATAAATTCATGAAAATTTATTGTACTTTGTACCCCTTTACCTGTTTGTTTACACTTATACCCCCAAATTTTGAAGATTGGGGGGACGGACTAACGGAGAGAGGAAGTGAGCTCTTACAAGTCATCTCCAAACCCTCCTGCCATGTGCTAACTCACGAAAGTGAAGAGACTTTAAGACTTGCTAAGTTTTACGGCGAATGATAAAAGATTATTAACAGTTGTTATCGTTATTCAATGTGGTTGTTAGGTTTTCGTTTCACTTCATTTTATTCTAGTCACATTTGTTATTCATATTACGCTGCAAAATTGATATCATGTCAAGAAAAAAAAAATTAAAATTTTAATCTCACAGAAACAATTTTTCAAGTTTAATCTTGCTGATGGTACTTGTATAGAAAACAAAAAATAAGACCCTATTCTCCCCCCATCCCAAATACGTGATAGCGACATCGGAAGTTCACAACTCCGACAATTACGAACTCGTTTTCTACGGAGACTCGACGCAATACTTCGGTCGATTAGACGTTCAAAATTATATTTTTTTTTTTTTTTTTTGACCAATCAAAAACCTTCGCGCGCAAGTCGAAAAAGTCTTGGTGATGATAAGCCGTCAATAAGATGACAACATTTACAAGTGCAGCGGGGGATTTTATTTAAATGGAAAATAAAGACTTCTACGCTCCAACTTCTAAGAAAAAATGAATCTTTATACCAGAAGATAAGCAGGAGGAGTTCAATATTTTGTCAGTTTTCTGTGTCGAATTTGACAAATTGAAGTCATAGTCGGAAAAAAAGACGACAAAGTGAGAGAACAGTTACAAACAACAACATGTAAAACAGTCCGAGAAGAGTTAACCTTTGTGCAGGAAGTGGAGTAACCGTTTCTCCTCATTTTAGGTGAAAACTTGCTCATTCAGTTTCAGGGATTACAAACCCCCGCTAGCACTTTCCCCATTGCAGTAAGAGGTGTAAGGTCGGTGTAATATTGATACCAGCGTTACAATGGTCCCGGGGAGTGGGCAAAAGTTTTTGTCCTTGGCCCATATCTATACGTATGTGTATAGCACTCCCCAAACGACCATGTGCCACATCCTGCATTAATGGAGAGGGGGCGGGTAAATATACCTGCGTTCCTTCACAACATGTCAACACGCAGACATGTTATTTTATACAAACATTATATACATTTACTTGCTTAAAAACCCACTTTCCTTTCGACATATACACAGAATAAATGTCTGCTTTAATCAACACAATTGAAGATTTGTGTTCCATCAAAAAGTGGGCGAATCATGGCTCACCACAAATTCCTATCCTTTGCAGCTCTTAGTAAGGTTTTGTCTTTTCGCTATCTCTCCTAACCCCTGTTCTACCAACCAATTACACGAGTTCATTAGGGAAGTGATGCGTTGCTTTTCCGTTTTTCTTGCCTTGTGAGTGGCAAATTCTCAAAGCCCTTTTTATTTGTGCGCCATAGAAATTTCAACTCTTTCTGGTGATAAGTACAAGTGTCCTTTGTCTTTCCATTTTCTCAAAAACTTCGTTTTTGCTCGTGTTCAGTCCATATGTTTCTACAGAAGGATGCTGAGAATACTTTTTATTACTTCAAGTCTCTTAACCTGCGAGGAGATTGTTCAGCGAGGACTGGCATTACGTAACCAGCACTCTTCGTTTCTAACGAAGTTTTCCTGTTTCTTAATACTTTGCTTAGCTTTTGGAAGACATCTTTCGCTATCCTAATACGTATTCGGAATATTGATTTCCTATCCCCCGTTAAAAAATTTTTTGTAGTTAATCGATTTCTTCTGTATATCTTCAGGACGTAGGCGATCATGGTTCTCCACAATTTCCTCTCCTTCGTAGATCTTAATAAAATGTCTATCTCGTCATCCATTTACTCAAGCGAAGTAGGTTATGCGTGTGTTCATCTATCCTTCTTGCCTTCAATCTGTCCTGTGATTATC